GTCGCCCGGGTCAGGGTGCTCGAGTTCGATCTGTCCCGCAGCGCGCGGTCTCGCGTCTTTCCCGCCCCCGGCACTGCCCCAGAGCACGTGTACATGCCCACCGCCAGGCACAGGTACGCAAGCGCGCGCAGGTACAGATGCACGGACACCCGGAGACCCTTACCGTCTCCCGCGCCCTCTCGGCGTCTGTGGTTTTCTTTCCCTCCCCCCAGTCCCCTTTCTCTGTTTGTTCCTCCCTCTAGCCCTTAAGGACCACTCCTTGGCTCCTGCTTTCTCGGTCTTTCCGCGGCCCGCGCTCCCCCGCTCTGCCCCGGACCCTGACTGGCTGTTCCTGCACCCTTTACTCTTGCTGATGGTCTCTCTCTCAGGCTCACTGTCTCCTCCTAGCTGGGCCTCTGGTTCTCCCTTTTCTCTGTTTCTCCCTTCAACCCCATCTCTCCCCTTCTCTCCTCCTGCAGGGTGGGGTGTTTGCGGGGCTCCTGCTGCCTGGTTTTCTCTTTTTCTCTCTACCCTGTCTCATTCTTTTAACAGAGTCCTGAGCCCCTTCTGGCCACTAACCCTGAATGTTTCCTGCGCAGCCTGCGGGGATCATCTACTCTGACTCAAAGTGACCAGCACCTCATAAATCCGCTTGTGACAGGGCTGGGGACCTGGACTGTGTTTCCTCCAACCTTATCACCAGGACTGGGAGCAGTTGATTCGAGTTTAACCCTTTCAAAGCAAATTCCTCCTTCAACCCAACGGCACGCTTACCTCTCCTGTCACTATACCCACCAAAAACAACAACAATAATGCCAGCTGTCATTTGTGAGGCATATATGGTGGGCATTGCTAAGAACTTTACATATAATAGAGTCTTCAAAACAACCCAATGGGTTGGGTTTCTATTCTGAGTAACCCCACTTTTCTGGGGAGCAAAGGGAAGCTCAGAGAGGCCAAGTGACTTGCCCCAAGGCCACACAGCAGGTCAGTGGACATTCTAGTCCAGTGCCTGTCCCTCTTAGCCACTTCTCAGGCACAGACTCATCAGAATGGAAGGGGCCTTGGAGGGAGGCCCAGCGGAGCTTACATTTGACACTCTCTTGCTGAACAATT